ATTGATATGACTGATACACCAAACAGAGGTTTTATTAAAGCTAAGAGTCTGAAGATAGTAAAAGAATAGTCTAGCAAGGACTAGGATATATGGCCCTGGTTGTTGCGGGGTGGGGGGGGGGGGATATGGGCAAAACTTTTACCATCAGAATGGGGTTATGGCTTAACTGGGACACAAACCCCATAAAAAAGTTGGTTTCAAATTATAAAAACCCCGAAGATTTTAAATCCAGTCTAGCTCTATATTTGCGGCCACATTTAAGCAATGATTTTATTAGTGAAGTATGCATGAAAACATATTGTCATGTATTTCATTAATGTTACAATTTGTTTTCCTAAGTATATACATTTAACATTTCTTACTGTTTACAGTTATCTATTTTAATGAGAATTATTTTGTATAACTAAAAAGTTGATGCTAGTTCTCTCGATTAACTCTGACTACTAAAAGCTCCAGGGGTGGGGAACGTCTGGCCCAACCACCATGTAAGCCCTTGAAATCACTTGGTGTGGCCCTGCCAAGATAACAGCAGTCAATACATCCGTAGCAGGATAATTTTTATGTTGATAATTTTGTATGGTCTGTGAGCAATGTTATAAGCATACAAAGGGCTCTTGGCATAGAACATTTTCTCCAAAAACACAACCTACAACCAAGGGATTGCTAATAGTGAAAGATCTTGACTACAAGAAAGCAAATAACTTCTCAGGTGCCTGACAACTTTAAAGATGGTGAAGATTATTACGATTCCTTTGAGGGATGAAATGCATTCAAACTATATAGGGAGAATAGAGATCATTCAAATTGAGTATTTGATTCTCTTTAGATACCAAAAGGAACTTGCTCCATATTTTTGATTCCATTTAATTAAAGAGGAAAAACTACAGGGGGTTAAAGTCTTTTTCACAAAAATTGTGTAGTTACATGGAGTGGCAGAAAGAGATAGCCAAGAAAAGACAGAAATACTTGGGAATCTCTGACTCCAAGTACAGGCTAGGTAGAGCATTCCTAATCTGAAAATCCAAAATATGAAAAGCACCAAATCAGCCGGTGCCATGGCTCACTTGACTAATCCTCCGTCTGCAGCACCAGCACCCTGGGTTCTAGTCCCGGTCGGGGCTCTGGATTCTGTCCCATTTGCTCCTCTTTCAGTCTAGCTCTCTGCTGTGCCCCAGGAAGGCAGTGGAGGATGGCCTAAGTGCTTGGGCTCTGCACCCGCATGGGAGACCAGGAGGAAGCATCTGGCTCCCGGCTTTGGATAGGCACAGTGTGCCGGACGTAGCAGCCATTTGAGGGGTAAACCAACAGAAGGAAGACCTTTCTCTCTGTCTCTCTCACTGTCTAACTCTGTCAATAAATAAATAAATAAATAAATATTAAAAAAAAGCACCAAATCCAGAACTTTTTATCAGGTTTCAGGACATTTTGTATTTTAGATTTTTGATTAGTATTGCTTAATTATTAGGTCAAAATTACAAAATCTGAAAAATTCTGAAATCTTAAACATTCCTGTCCCCAGACACTTCAGATAAGGGCTATTCAATCTTCAATCTCAAGATACAACAAAACAAAATAAACAATCCACCAAATACTAAATTTTGTTGCGAACCAATGGCATTTAGCATGGGACTCTTCCTGGATAAGCAGACCTGACCACTCTTGTTGTGGGGTGGTAGTGAGTTCTCTGTGATAACAGCTTTCAGACCTTATAAAGAATGATATATATAAACACCTGTGTATTATGTGTTTGTATGTGTATATACATTCCTTATTTTGAAAAAATACAGCATACTAATGATCCAAATTGTTCAGTGTTAGAGTATTTTGAGGTACATTAAATGCTTTCTGAAAAATGAGTGTTTACTTAAAAGCTAAGCTCTATTCTAAAAGTCGTCATGGCAACAACTCTGATCATTCAACTACATAACATATGTGGCTTTATCACAATGACATTTAGTCACTAATCTTTAATTGTCTTGGAGGTGCAGGCTTTCTAGAACCAGCCCACCTCCAGAGACAAAAACAGTCTTAGTTTTGCTCCCTTATTAAATATGTAGCTTGAAGATTTAACTCATTTGAGTACAAAGGTCATAAGCTAATGAGATCACTTCATGGGATGCTCTTCCCAGAAAGCCCACTATCCTCACAGAGTGAATGGCTGACTCATCCTATATGTTGTTTGTCTCAAGAGGGTAATAATCACTGCACATCAACCTGATATTACCTCATTACACAAACCCCACTAAAGAAAGTGTCAACATACATACTAGGGAAATACAAGTAGCACTTTCATGATTAAAAAAAATACTTAATTCATTTTTATCTGTATTACCCCAGAATTTAATGAGGGTAGCAAGTTTTGACTTGCTAAAGAATGACTAGTATCTCTACAGTATAGAGCACGTTCACGTTTATGATGTATTGATTCACATTAAGTACCAGCTTTCAAAAATAAAGACATCCATTAATATTTCTTTAACTCATTACTAGATTTGGAAAATCTGTCTATTTGCAGGTATTTTTATATTCAAATTCCTAAAGAATGAGGGATTCACCCCTCTTGCTATCTAGCTTAGTATGACTTTCTTGAATAATTTTTTTAATATTTGAAAGACAAAGAGGGATATATCTTCTACATGTTTATAATCTTAGAATTTACATTCTATTTTCTAATACTGGTTCACTCCCCAAATGGCTACAACAGACCAGGCTGGCACAGGCTGAAGCCAGGGATCAGGAGCTTTATCTGGGTCTCCCATGAGGTTGCAATGGCCCAAGAATTTGGGCCATCCTCCACTGCTTTCCCAGGTGCATTATCAGGGAGCTGTATCAGAAGTAGAGCAGCTAAGACTCAAACTGGCACCCATATTGAATGCCAGCATGGTAGGCATCAGCTTAACCCATTACACCATAACTTTTTTTTTTCAAAAAGAGATGTATTTCTTCTATAATATTTTAATAGATTCCTAACTGAGCCTTCATTTTCTAGGTGGACAAATCTGTATGTCTAAACTTTGCATAACATAAGTATTTGATTATTTTCTGAATGACAAAAATTTGTGATTTTAATTTACCTCTCATTCAATAAAAGATTCTGCTATAATTTAACATTCACATTACTGAGACCATAGGAAATTTTCCACATATTTCCTACTAGTTTTGTGGGACAAATTTTGTGGCTCATTCCTACAGAATATTTAAGGATACTAATTTGAGAAAAGTAGTTAACAGGAATATTACAAATGTGTACATTTTTGTTTTACTGATGTATAAAAGTTATACTATCACCATGTAGCATCATGTATTACAGATTTAGGAAGTCATATATATTCAAGATTAAACGAGCATGAGAATCATATGGAGAAAAGATCAATTCTCTCTTTCTTATCAGCTTAATGGTCCGGCTGCTAAGAAGCTGGCCATGAAAGAAAAGAAGTCAGCTTGCTGGTAGATGCAATCCAACAGACCCATCTTCAGTGCAAACCCAAAAGCCAGAATGGCCAAACTCATCTGGTTTCTTGCAGCATATGCTGCTTGGCCACGCTTGTCAGGGCACATCATTTCCAGAGGGACCTATTTCAGACTAGTTTTATGGAACAAAAGGTCTCTAGCTATCAACAGAACCAGTGAAAAATCACTTACTGAGTTCATGAGATCTCTCAGATCCTGTGTAGGGATTGGGGAAATAGAAAGGAATAAGACTCAGGCCTCTGTTTCAAGAAGTCCTCATTCTTATTAAAATAGGTTGACATTTTCCTGAACCTACATCTCACCACATTCTACTGTTCATTTATAAAAAGTCTAGAAGAATCAGCAGATGCATATTTTTCTTCTGTTTCATATTTTATAATATACAGTGATTTTGATCAAACCTCCTACTTACTGCATATAACACTTTTCACTGTCAAATAAAATCTTTCATTAAAAAATATTACCATCACCCTTTATATTTTACTATTTTGAGACAAATCTAGTCACAGACCACACAGCTCTAAAAGTAGTTTTGAATTATTATGACTGTATGTAAAATCTTTCCACTCTAAGGCTTCAGCCCTTTCCTTTTAGTGTAGAAGCCATTGGCCACCCCTACTCTGCCTTCTGCATTCCTCTCACTATTCATGCCACAATTTTCACTGAACTTTCTGTTCTTTCAAAGCTCCTTATATTAAAAATTCTTCACTGAAGAGGTGTTTAGCCTAGCAGTTAAGACATTCACATCCCACATCAGAGTACCTGGGTTTGGTACTCGGCCCTGGCTCCTGCCTCCAGCTTCCCAGTAATGCAGACCCCTGGGTGGCAGCACGTGATGGCTCAGGAATCAGGCTCTGGCCACCCAATGGGAGACCTGGATTGAGTTCCCAGCTCCTTGCCTTAGACCCTGCTTTTGTTGGCAGTTGGGTAGTAGATCAGTAGGTGGGATCTATCTCTGCCTCACTGAGCCGCAAGTAAATACATAAAAGAAACAAAATCCATCATTCACTGAATTGAATGACCTTAGGGAAGTTGTGGTTACTTGAACATCTACAGAGCTAAACCAATCTATCATTCATTTGCCAAGTACTTGGTAGCAAAGGAAAACCAACATAAATTCAATATGCTATTAATGTCAATATTGTTGCTTTTATTATCACCATAATCATTAAGATGATGCAAAAAATACATCATGGAGCTAATAATTCTATAACCACTCATCTTGCTAGTAGTAACATGAACATGGATAAAATTCACAATATTTCTTATCAAATAAGGGCAAATAATTATAAATTCTACATGGCTTATAACACAAGAGTATATAGATCTCTAGTTGAAGATAGAAATAAGAAAACAATTAAAAAATTTAATTCTTTGTACTTTCCTTCCATCTCTTAACTTCATCTGGATTTATGAGCAACAAGCTATTCTTTATAACCACAACACAATCAAAAAATTTTGCCTCAGTCATGATGCCTGGGTTTCTCCCAAAGCCCTCCCCGCGCCCCCACAATGGGTTTGGGACTTACTTGCTGCTGAGGCAACGTCTCAGCGAGTAGGAGGCCCCTCCACCACAGGTGCGTGAGCACTCGCTCCACGGGCCCCAGGCATCCCACAGGCTGTCCCGGTCCTCCTCAGAGCGTGCTGCCCTAGAGCTCTGAGAAAAACAAGAGGATGGTCAACATCACGCCCCTATTAAACCCTGAAATAGGCACCCTAAAATGTAGGCAGCATGAGGGTGTGTACATGCTGACTCTGCTCAGAAGGAAAAGGTGCACCCCATTCTCAGGTTCTTTCTAATTGAAAAAGGTGTGCCTGTTTTGAGAGAAGGAAAGTTGAGTTTAAGGACCTGGGGAATAGCGGAAGAGGTAAGAGGTTGCACTAATGGAGAAAATAGAAAACAAAGCCAAAAGTAGCAATCTGGGTTAAAGGAAGATGGATTGCATTAAAGCAACCATGTCACCCAGAGTTCATGCATCAACTTTTCATCTCTTAAAGACAAGACAGAAGCTGCTGTCCAGAGGATTCTGCCATGAGAAGCTTAACCCCAGCAGACCAGCACTGCTCCCCAAAAAGTGAACAACTGCATTTTTAAATGATTTTTTTTTTCATTCCTAGTTTTCAGATTTGTTAATAGCTATATGAAACAACTTTAGTGATGTGGGGAGTGCTTCTTCCTGGCCAGGTTTGCTGAGTATTTGTAGGTTTCCTAGGAAAATCTGCATCTGCTGTGAGGATAACTTTTGTGCACTGGCCTCAAAGTTGCACTTCACATTCTTCATGGAGGTGAGAAAGATTTAGTTTGCTCTGTAGTTAACAGGAGAGGTTCCAGAGTTAGAAATTATCTGGGATTGGATTCCGATTCTGGCTCTTCCTATTTGTCCTTGAACCAAATGACTTCTAGCCCCCGCACCCTATGCCTCAAATTCTCTTTCTATAGAAAGGGGATAACATAACCACATCAGTACACACACACACACATAGATACACACTATAGGGGAATTAGCTAAATGGACTTGGCACAGTACAAGGGCCAAAGTAAAGCACTAATTTTCTATTTTTTACAGGAATGGGTTACTTTATAAATTGGTTGCCATGGGACTCCGCTGTTAAACTGAGTACTCCTTGGAACTTTTAAAATTTGAACAATTTATGATCATCATATAAATGGTTTTCTAACTGGTACCTGCTGTATTTAGGTTTCTAGACCATACAAAAGGGGAGCTGGGACAGCACAGTGGTTGCCTGCAGGAACTCTGGATCTCCTTGCTTTGAGATTAGAAGACTGCATCCAGAGCTTCCTCTCTGTATAAAGTTTGGTGTATAAATTACCTACTTATGCTTCAGTTTTCTTATCATAAAATGAAGTAATAAAGATACCTGTAACCCTGAATCATTGTGAGGATTAAGAGTATATAAAAATCACATTAATGTGGAGACAGCACACATATCTGAATGAATAAACAAAAAGTGGTGTATACATACAATAGAGTCTCATTCAACCTTAAAAGGAAGGAGATTCTGACACATGCTATGACACGAACAAACCTTGAGGACATTATTCTACGTGAAATAAGCCAGACGCAAAAGGACAAATTCTACAGGATTCCACTTATATGAGGTCCTTAAAGTAGTCAAATTCATAGACACAGAAATAGAATGGTGATTACCAGGGGCTAGGGCTAGGAGGAATGGGAGTTATCATTTAGTGAGTGTAAAATTTCAGTTCGTGGAAGTGAAAAACTTCTGGAGACGAATGGAGGTGGTGATTGTACTAATGCCACTATACCAAACTGGTTAAAATGATAAATTCTGTGTGACATACTTTTAACCCCAACAAAAATAAATACATACATAAAGACAGCATATAGAACCCAAATAACAAACACTATCTTAATGTGTGTTGTCATTCATGTTCTTACTTATTAATAATTAATACCATTACTTGTCAATATACTTTATAAAGATAAATGGGCTCTGAAGGTTTATAGCACCTGAGTGAACCTAGCAGAGGCACTGCACTGTTAATGTATCATTGTCTCGAAGTTCCTGATTGCCAGACAATACAGGGAAAGTGCTGCAGCTGCCCAGTATTTCCTGAGCTCCAAAGTCTGGATTTTAGGATTAATAAAACCAATCTCTAATCACTGCAATATGGGTACTGTGTTTTCAGGGCTTAATTAAATAGTGAGAAAGTAAATAACCTTAATCATTGGGCATACATACCAAAGTCTCTTTTCCATATGTCCATTAAATTCATTTTCGAGATTTTAAAAAGTTCATCACGCATCTCTGGACTCTCCTTTGTTTGCTCTATGTGTCTGGAAGATGGGACTGTTCAGAGAGGTGCAGCTTTTACCTGATGCAGTTACTATTTGTGTGACAGACACATTCGGATATTGCAATTTCCCACATTTTTTTTCAACTTCAATATGACTGAGATGAAAGCAATATCACAGATGCTAGGGTTTGTGAAATTGAAATGAGCAAGATGAATGATTACAAACATTGATGCAATCCAATTACTACCCTGTGAAAAAATTTACATGCAGCATTTCCATGTGAACTGTATTTCCTTGTGCGACTAGAATGTAGACTGCAAGTCCTTGGGGGTTTCCCCCAGCTGCTCTCTGGGGGAGATATTTAGGAAATCAAGTGTGGCTGTGATTTTGTTTTTCTAGAGAAACAAATTCTTTTAAAATCTGTGCTAAAGATGCCTCTTATGAAGTCTAAAGGAGCACTCAGGAGCACTCAAAAGGCCCTCAGCTGATGCGACATCTTACCACCTCCCAAATTACAAGTTTCGGCATCTCTAGACACACTAAGTGTCCACATTTCTTTGACAAAGATCTCACAGTTACACAGAAGTGAGGCATGGGCCTATTTCTCAAGAGGAGCAAACTCCAAGTTTTCTTTTAACAACTGGAATAAACATAATTCATTTCAACGGAATCCATGTTTAATGTTACAGAAAGTAAGTTTCCTTTTCTCTATGCCAGATTTTCACATCTATAGCCAGACATGACAATTTGCAATGCTGTTCAACTCATGAAAACTTTATAAGTCTTTGCTTATTGCTGTTTTCAGAATGGTCTTTGGTATAAACAACTTGTGTGTCTGGCCCTGATAGAACTCATGTTTATTTCTCACATTTGAATGTGCAGTCCTTTTGGTTTTACACTTTTTTTTAAAGTGTAAATTTTCTTTTTTTATTTTTTAATTTTTATTTAAGGAATATAAATTTCCAAAGTACAGCTTATGGATTACAATGGCTTGCCCCCCCCCATAACTTCCCTCCCACCCGCAACCCTCCCCTTTCCCTCTCCCTCCTCCCTTCCATTCACATCAAGATTCATTTTCAATTCTCTTTATATACAGAAGATCAGTTTAGCATATATTAAGTAAAGATTTCATCAGTTTGCACCCACATAGAAACATAAAGTGAAAAATACTGTTTGAGTACTAGTTATAGCATTAAAGTGTAAATTTTCAACTGCATCTAACAAGGCAAACTGAGGCAGAAGAAAAATAAGAAATGGATAGTGGGCTACCTATAAGCAATGCTGATTGATTTTTTATGTAGCCTAGCCAAGGTTTTTCTATTTGATTCCTATCACATAAGGACAACACCATAATTTCAAAGTCTCAGGAAGGTCCTGAATGCCATTAAACTCAGTGATCAAGAGATTATCCCTGACCCCACTGCTGGAGATTTCAGCCACAGTGTCAGGTGAGACGATGGTCTTTACCAATAAATGTCAATGCTACAGAACTAAAGAATGATCATTAAATCTTTTTATAAGCCAATGTTTCACCAGTAAGAGATTTACTATAACAAGTCAAAAGTGCATCTGATAGTACACTGCCAAGAACAAGCCATGGTAAATCCCTTTCTTATTATAACATTTAGTTACTTTGCAGTCTTTGGATGGGTGAGAATGGATGACTGACACTGGCTTAGTGACACTCCAGTAAGCACTGAGAAAAGGCAGGCCTCTGTCTTGGTTCTACAGTTCTGTAAAAATTGCAATTGTCCCATCAGTTATTCAATTTAGAAAAACTCTATCCATTTCTAGATCTTTGGGGCCACATATTGACCTTTCAGTGTAGTATTGATGAAGACTGCTAAATCAACTGCTTTCTTGGAAAACTCAGCAGTCACCTCCCCTACCCCATTGATCCATTGCTCCCAGCCAGTACAGAGGCTCTAGACCTCAGGAAATGCCAATTGCATGCAATATAGATTGTGGTCACAGATCATTATGTACCTCCTATGAATACTAGGAGAGCTTCCCTACCTCCCTCAACCTCAGAATGGTGTCATTTTCTTGCCATTACTGGCTTATCTAAACATGGTTTTCATCCGATAGTTCTGTGGTTGATTCCAGAGCCAATTGCAGCAACCAAGTCTCAGGTGGACAGCTCCAAGCCTGACAGCTACAAGTAGTTAAATGCTTTGAATAATAACATGAAGCAATATTTTCCCTGCATCTCACCGCCCAATAGACACTTAACCTTCCAATGACCTCCTACATACTTCTTTATCCAGAAATCTCTTTCAGTGGAACCTGGAAGGGGTATCAGAGACTTACGAAAGATGTTGTAGGATGAAGCAGAAATTAGCAACAAAGGACTCTAGAGCTGTGTTTGCTCTGATACACTCATATACGGAGTACTTGGACAATATTTTTTCCAAATGTTGTAACAAGAGGTCAAGCTCTACAGAACTAAATGAAAACGAAAGTAGGTGCTGAGGAAATGGTTGATAGGTTTTGGTAAAGTTGAAGTCATATAAAAGCTGAAGTTATATTATACGCAAAGTGTTTTTCAGACATCAACTGATCCTCAGAAGTAGAAAAGGGGTTAAGGGACGAGGCAAAGAGTGGAGCTTACAATGACCAGCAAGAAGGTACCTAAGGCTCTGGTTTTCCTCTCCTTCCAGACAGCATTTAGTTTAAGCCATCTGGAGCTGTGCATGTGACCGTACAAGATGGATGTCACACACCTTTAAATTACATAGTGGGGCAACCCCGCCCCTGATGAGAGAACCATTTTTCCTGTGGTGTGCCTATGCAAAGTGGAGAAATCTAGGCACAGAAACATCCTGTCAATGTACCAAGCTTTGGAAATGAATCTGCAGATTCCATTTTTAGCTCT